GTGGGCGTGGGCGTGGGCGTGGGCGTGGGCGTGGGCGTGGGCGTGGGTGTGGATATTACTGGAAACCACAACCACGCCCCACATTCACGCGCACATCCACAGCCACACGCACACCGTGTAGCCACACTGACATCCACGCCCACGCCTACATCTCATACTCACACTCATACAAACACCACACGACCATACCCACATCCCAACGCACACCCACACAAACAGCATACAAACATGCCCACACCGCGGCGCACACCCACATAAATTCTACACCGACACCCACACCCACCCCACACCGACCCCACACCGACCCACGCCCACACCCACCCACACCCACACTCACACCCACACCCAAAAAAAGAAAAATCTTATGAAAAAAAAAGAACTTTTTGTTGTTTCTCTTCTGTTTGATAACATTATATCGTTTCAAGAAAAAAGCATTGAAAGAATAATTTCACGACATCAGTACGATGATAAAATATAGAACAATAACAATAACAACAAAAAAAAAAGATCTCGATGGTTGTTTTGTTTCAATGGCAATGCTCATTATAATCAATAACAGATGAACGACGCCAAGCAAATAAGAAATGACCTACACCAGCGCCGAGTATAATAGCCAAAAATAGATAAATATTAAATGTCATAGCTATTAGCATTAATAAATAGCAAATACCCATTTGAAGAATATGTAAAATTGTTTGAATAAAATGCCGAAGACTCAATAAACGAGCTCTAAAAATACAACAAAATTCATTAATCAAATTCAACAAATCATTAAAATTCTATTTTTGTTAATCAACTATGACTCACCGTTTATTAGTACGGACTTTTCCTGTTTGAACTCTTGGTATTAAATCATTATTATTAGAATTTTCATATTGTTGACCTTGATGTCGTAAACTAGAGTAGCAATTATAACAATCACCAAATTTTATTTCGTAAAAAACTTTTTACTTCATGTTAACGATTAATTACATGAGCAAATGCATATTATTTCTTTAAAATAAACTTACAGTGATGGTTGACCTTCACGTTGTTGACCACATTGACATCCGTCACGTTTTGATGATTGATCTCGAACAGTTTTTAATATTTCATAGAGTATAGCAACGAAAAAAATGAGAAGCCAAGATCCAATAAACGCTTAAAACAAAAAAACAAAAAGTGAAATTTCTTTTTTTTTTGTTTGAAATACAAAAAAAACAGATATTAATTATTTACCAGTCATTGTTTGTGTATCCCATTGTTCAAATAAAATTTGTTCTTTAAAACCACCATGGAAGGTCATCTATTGAAAAGAAAAAATTTCTTTTTTAGATTTAGAAATTGTAAATTTTCAAATCATGATCGCTGATTTCCGAATGACTATCATTTAAGCAATCAGTAAATAAAATTGATCAATATTCAATCAAATTAAAGGATAAGCATAGGAATTGAAATGATCGAAGGCAAATTTAAAAAAAAAATTATTTTCATAACGAATGACTCAAATCAAAATGATAGCTGGTATGAAGATATAGAACTCTGCGCATCAAATACAAATAGTATCTTAAAAGTAATCAAAGAAAAACAACATAATCAAAGATAATGAAACATTTAGAGAAAAGACTTTACTTAATAGAGCAAGATGAGATGTCTTCGATATCTTCATAACCTTCTTTTATCGAATTGCATTCAATTTACAGAAGGTTCAACAAGCATTTTTCTCTTCTTTTTATTGGAAATTTCGATGTTTTTGTCATGTTTGAAGCATTGGAGTCTTCTATAAATTAAATGTAGTTCAATGAAGGAATGTTATGGAGAGATCGCAGATGTCTCATTTTACTCTATCAAATAAAATCTATTCCCAAAAGATTCGAATGGAACCCAAAAAGCTGATTTTGAGAGATCTTTATTTTTCAAAGGCCTTCATCCAAGCAGTTTTGTTGGAGTCTTCGGGCATACCAATCCTGATAGAGAATTCTTTCAGTTACACATATATATTTTTTTCAGATTCTTGCTAACTATTACTATCAAGAAGAAAATTTGAAAATACAACACTACCCTACCACCCACGACTTCCTGGTTATGTTACCAGTTAAATCAGAAAAAAAGATATTATTTCTATTCTGAATAGTTCTTTAAAAAAATATTATATACCAGTTCGTGATATACAATTGATTACACAGGTCGATTTAACTAAATATTAAAAGAAAAAAAATATGAATTTCGTCACACGATTTTTGACAATTTGTTCGATTTCTATAGGACTTTTAACAGTAAAAAGATTATAAAAATGCCGACCGGAATTCCATAGAACCATATAAAAATCAAAACTTTTCATCAATTCAAAAAAAAAACATTTGATATTTGATGTATAGGAATAGGATATAGTGCACATGGAAAATCATCAAAATGCAACTATCCAGCTTGTTTTTTTTTAGAACTACAGACTCAAATCAACGAAGACGTTTAGAGGTGAAGATATTCCCTTGTGAACCTATTTTGCTAGTAGCATAATTCAATTTTTATTTTCTTTTTATTTAAAGTTATTTTTCATAATTAACAACAGATAATTTTAGTA